GAGAGCTTCTTCTTTATATGTGGATCTAGGTTGTTCCAAATTTCTTTTACAATTTCCTGCTCCTTATTTGCCCACTTTACTGCATCAATCTCACAAGTGAATAAGTGGTCGAAATCTTCTTCCTCTTGTCCACACTTTTTACATAATGCTGATGGATAAAGATCTTGTCAGTTTCTTCTACGAGTATTGAGTATAGGAAGTAATCTGTTTAAGCTTTTGAGTCTGAAACTCCATCTTTTGTTAGATCTAAAGGTTCTTCCTTTTTCCTTCTTTTCTTTAATTCACAGGCTCTTAAAGATTTTTCAATCCTGTTTTATAGATCTTCGTTGGTGAATCGAGCACTTAGCATTGTTAGCAAATAGCCATTCTGCCTTGTGAAATGTGTAAGTAATTTTTTTAACAAAGCTACAAATTGGGGCTTCAATTGCACTACTCTTCTATATTGGCCTAAAAATTATGCCCTGGGTTTCATTAATAATAGTATTTGTTACTTCTGTTTCATTGAACACTTTTTTTGCTGTCTTGTCTGCTAAATCGTTTAATATATCACCAGTATGAGCTTTGACTTTAAAGAACTGTATGTCTAAATTCTTGGTGTTTATATTTTTGTCAATAGCTCTAAGTATGTTGGGATTTTTAGCTTTGTACCATGATCTTGTGCTTTTAGTTTTTCTAATTTTCTCTATTGCTTGAATTGCTACTTGGCTATCTGTAAAGATATTAATCTTGCAGTTGGATGGCGAAATTAGTAGTGCTCCCAAAATTGCCATAAGTTCTGATCTAGTGGATGAAAACCATCCTTGAATTTTATCTTTTAATTTTCTTATAATATTACCTTTCTCATCTATTTGTATTATACCATACCCTGCCTTGTGATCTTCTACCCCTCCTCCTCCAAGTGAGCTATCTGTGTAGTATGCTATTTCTCTATATACATGATTTTCTTCAACCACTTGAATTAGTTCCTGTTGTTTAAACTTATTTTCTATCCCTTAAATTGTATACCAATTCGGGGCAAATTTGCCCTGATTTTTGTAAGGCAATTTTTATATAATTTAAATTATAACTAATACTACAAATCGATCTGAAAATTAATTAAAAACAAATATTTAATAAATTTATTTAGTTTTTACTATGAAATTCTTTAAAACAATTAGGCCTTGCCTTAGAGCAACAAAGTGAAACATTATATTTAATACACCAAGATTGGCTTTGAGAAATTGCACAAATTTTTTTTTTTTTTTTACCTTTGCTATTATTTTTTACCAAATAACGACAATGTAAGCATGACTCACTCTTTTTTCTCTATTATACTAGATGGTTTCTAGGTGAAATGGCCTACAGGTAGTTTAAAACTTTGAGTAACATGAGCAATTCGTTTATATTTTGGCAGTGATTTTGGTAGTGCCATTTTTTGCTTTAATTGACTTCGGGTAACTCTTTTATTTCTATTGTTTTCATTATCCAAAGCTTCTTGAATTAAATCCCATACAAGTATAATTCTAAAGTCTTTACTTGTAATATTTGTATTTGTGGCTTTATGGTAAAGAATAATACTATTAATTAAAACAGTATCTATTAACCAAAAAAATAATGGGAACCAAGTGCAGCGTACTGTTAACTGACAATTGTAGTAACCTCAAAGTTGATCTGCAAGATCAACACTACCCATATAATTATTATAATTATCAATGATTCGTGGAATAGCAAGTTCTTTCTATGACATATTGCCAAACACTTCATACACTTTATTTGCATTACTACTAGTTGCACAAAAATATCATCTATTATGAATTACCTTCTATTCATCACCTATTACTTTATGAATAGTTGTAAGCATCATTATGGGATCATTGTTAATTCATAATGTAGCTAAAACATCATTTGTAACTATTCTACTAAGAGTGTTCCAATCTAATAAATAAACATTATTAACTTTTAACTCTTTAGGGAATTTTGATGAATTAGTTTGTACAGTGCTACAAGCACCAATATTATTGTCACGCAAATGTTTAAAAAGGGGAATGCTTGTAAAATAATTATCTATATATATATGAAAATTTTTATTACGGGGAAGCTGATTTGCTAAATGCCATACAGTATATCCGGCTTTATTTATGCCAGGAATTAATTTTAATTGTGAATTATTTTCAACTCGCAAACTAAACATAAATATATATATATATCCAGCATCGCAGAGTGAATAGATCTTATATCCTTCAGATGTAGGTTTGTTTTTTATTTTTATAGTGTGTATACTTCAACCTGAGAAGCGCACCATTATCTAATCTATAGCTACTTGTGAACTTGGTACATAAAATTTTTTAAACAAGTCTCGAAGATGTGATGCTAGTGGCTCTACTTTAGAGTACCAATATGATTCTGGTTGATATGGATTAGAAATATGAAGAAATTGCTTTATTTGCTGAAATCGGTATATAGTCATAAATTGTTTAATGCTATGAATTGCTTTTTGCTTATCCGAATTCCATAAATCTGCAACATTGTAAATTTTATGAACTCCCATATAAATAACTAATGAAATCCAAATTTTTAACTCTTTTAAAGTTATAGACGTTCAGACCCGACTACCTTTAACTCACTTAATTTTTTTATAATTATTAGTATGTTAAACGATCATTTTTAAATAATGATCTGTAAAAAACAAGTAAAATAATGTAAGCGGGCTAATAGTACCTTGCTCCATTTCATATAGTAATGTAGTATAACTACTATGAAGTTCACTAATGTTTTCTATAGGCACAAATACTGGTAAATCTAGAAGGGTTGGTATCTTATTTGATTTAACGTTTTTGCCCTTGTTTGTTTTTTTATTGGCAGTTATTTTGCCCTTCCACCCACCCTATTTTTTCTGGTTCTTTTGTGAGTTTTTTCTGAACTTTGTTCATATTCAGAACCTGAAGTACTATTTTGTTCTTCTAATATGAACAAGTCTTCATTGTCCATATCATCATTATCAATCATATGGTCACTTAATATCTCTCCATGTTTGTTGCGCTCAAAGGTAACAACAAATTGTGAACTAAAGGAAGCATGATCATCGGCAATAATATCCTCATTATTAGAAGAATCATCATCACTGTTATTAGTTGTGGTAGTATAAGGCATTTTTTTTTTTTTTTTTCGTTGGGTAATTTTTTTTTTAAATACGAATATCAAAACGTGATTTTATATTTAACAAACTTTTAAGGAAGTTCATTAAACTTCATTATGTATCACTAAAACTTATGTCATATTTGTCATATTGCATTATTTTTATGTGTTATGCTAGTATTTGTCTTTGATGTGATACAAGCAATAGGGGGTATTATGAGTAAATTTTGGAGGTACTGCGGAAAATTTACTGAAAATCAGGGCAAATTTGCCCCAAATACAATTTAAGGGATAGTGTTTTTCACCAGGTATGTTTCCCAATTATCTATATGAACTTGATGTACTACTTCTAATTCTTCTATTCTATTTTGGTCAGTTTCTTCTGGGGCAACCAAATCTTTAAGATACTCTAAACTAATAGAAGCGGCCCAACCACCTTCAATTTTTCTTTTAATCCATAGGCTAATGTCTTCTAGATCGCTTTCCTTTGCTTTTAATACATTGGGGTGAGACTAATTTTGAATTGGAAGAGATTGTATAAGGCAAGTTTTCTTTATTTTCTTCATCCCATTCTAGTATATAGACCTTTTTATATAAGAATTTCTTTTGGATCCTTCCAATAAAGCGCAAGTTGTTTTTTTCTTTCGTTCCTAGAACTCATTTTTTCTTTGATTTCTTATGCGATATTCTTCTCTTTTTTGTTCTTATTTGTTTCTTATTTATCGTATTATTTTGTATTAAGAACTCTTTGACTTTTCAAAAAACTTTATCTATAATTACTGTCTTTTCCAATCTTTGGAATCAAAGAGATACTCATCCCATTGTCAATACATTCCATACTCTACAAATTTGTTGCCAAGTGAGCATAGAGTTGTTATATCGTGAGACTATCTGTTCTAAATACCAAATGTTTAATTTTTTGAGGCTTATATTGCTTTTTTCTAGGTTTTTTTTTTTGGATTAGCCCTCTTAGTTTGTTGATTGGACTATTTCTTGGAGCTATATTCCAATTTTCTTTCCAGTTTGGGTTTTTAATATTAATTTCTATTTCTTTTGCTACTGCTAGTATGGCTATATTGAAATTGTTTTTTCATTTGTAGAGCTTTATTTCTTCACTTGATAGAAGCCATATTGGCTTTGTAGATCTGAGTATAAGCTGAGCCTCTTTTAACTGCATTCTGGTGAGGTCGCCTACCAAATCCAGGTTATTTATTCTAATTACCTATTCTGAAATCATGTACTCTGTGTGATATTGCTATAGAGAATTAATTCCCCATATATCTCTTTGTGTCAGAATAAAATTGGATGCCGTTGAGGATATTTCTGCTTTCCATTTAGCTACTCATAAGATCAGATAGTATAGTTTTTCTTATTCTCTTTTAGTAAGCATTATTGTATTAAGTTTGTATTCAGCTCGGGGAAGAACTACCATATTGTTTATGTATTTTACGTATTCTATTGAGATTCTTTTTTTAAGAAGCAAGTTGGCTATTTGTTTGATTTCCTGGCCAAGTTTTTTTATAATTATTTGTTTGGGTTCTGTGGATGTGAGCCAGACCCCCAAGTATCTTACTACTTCTTTTTTCTTTTTCGCTACTATTTTCTCCTTACCCTTCTTTATAGCTATCGACTTTTTCTTCTGACTTGTTTTTTGGGTTTATTACTAGTAGCTCAGTTTTTTTCCTATTAATTTTGATGTTGTTTAGACTAAAGAAGGATTTCGCAATTTTTATTGTACTTTCTATATCTAATTTGGAGTTTGCCATAAGAGCTGTGTTGTCTGCATATGCGAGCCCTGCAACTTGCAGATTTTCTTTTCTTGTATTTCCCTATGTCAAATCTATAGGCCATTTAATTTTGGCTTCTGCTCTATTGTTACATTTTTACAATTTGCATAGCAGGGGGTCAAAGTAAATTCTCCATAGGAGAGGAGAAATCACCTCACCTTGGTCTATTCCTCTTTTTGCAAAAAAACCTTCAGTTATTCCAAATTTGGTAAGTACTTTAATTTCTCAATTTAAGAATAGATTAATTAAGAACTTTTCTAATTTTTCTGGGACTTTAATATACTTTAATACCAGTTGCAGCCTTTTAAAGTCGACTGTATCAAAAGCTTTTCTAATATCAATGAGAGTTATCCACATTTCTTTATTATTTTGTTTTGCTGACTCGATTAGAGAATTCATTATATAGATTGGTTCTTGGATGCATTCTCCTAGTAAGCCTACAAAGTTGGGTCCTCTCAGAATCTTGTGAGTGATTATTTGGTCACTTAAACTCCTCTGGATAATTCTAATTAAGCCTTTTCTTGTTGCTTCAAGAAGCATTATAGGTCTGATATTTTCTAATTGTAAGTCCCATTCTGCCAGTTTTGATATTGGGAAAATCATACTGATTTTTCATTTTCTTGGCATCATTCCCTTCTCTAAAATTAGGTTTAAAAGTTTTAAGAAAATCTTTGTTGCTTTTTTTTCTAGTCTTTTTAGAATTGTGTACCCAATATTCGACAAACCTGGAGCTGAATTGTTTGAAGTTTTCTGAAGCATTTCTTTTCATTCCCTTTCCTTGATTTCATCGGACAAGCCATCATACCACTCTTGGTTAATATAGCTTAAGGGTTCATATTCTGATTGCTACTCTTCTTTTTCTTCATCTGATTAATTTTCAACCTCTTCAAACTGTTTCGAAAAGTGCTTATCTACAGCTTGTTTAACTTCTTCAGGTTTATAAACTAGCTCTTTCTTTCCTTTTCTTTGGTCTGTTGTGGCTAGGATTCTTTCTATTTTTAATTTATTTTATGGTCTTTTGAGGATGCTATTTAGTATTTTCTTCTTATACTGACCAATCATTCCAAATCTTCTTTCTATATTTTCCCTTATTTTTTTATTTTGCTCTGTTCTTTGCTCTAAGATTATTTTCTTTTTGATTACTTTTATCTACCCTTTGAGGTCTTTTATCCATTGCTCTGACCAGCAATCTTTAACCTCTTTAATTTCTGTTTCATTATTAAGGTTCATTTGATTTATCTGGATATTTATTGAATATTGATCTTCTAGTTCAATTTTACCATTTAGGTTTTTGGACACCTTTCTCCCTATACTTCTAAGTTGCTTGATCCATTTATATTTTGGGTTCCAGATAATCTGCTTTTGCCTTTCTTCTAGCATATTATTTTCTTGAAGAGGACTGCTTTGTTGGCTGCTTTTGTTATACAATTAGCTAGCTTTTCCCAACCTTCGTTTATTAGATATTCTGTTGCTAAGAGGTGAGTTTCAACTTTTTTCTTTTTGACTTTGTTCTGTTCCTCATTTAAATATTTTTCTAAGAGAGAGGTAAACTTTTTCCAATCTTCATTAGATATTTTGTTATAGAAACATATTTTGCGCTATTCAGAATATCTTCTATGTTGTTTGGCAACCAAATTAGTGTGAAGTATTGGGCTTAATAGTACTTTTGCCATATTAGGTTGTGATCACTAGCTGTTACCAGATCCATATCTTCAATGTCACTATCTATTATAAGCTCTTTAATTGTTGGATCTAGCTATATATGGTCTATTTCGAATAATAATTGTTATTAGACCAGGTTGCCTTAAAGATTTGAGAGTTGATTAATAGGTAAGATTCTGTATAGCCTACTCTTTGAAGCCAATTTAATAAGGGCAGTTTACTGTGTTTGTGTTCTGAGGTCTCATCATCTATATATTGGCTAGAAGTAGTATGAGGGTCTAGTTTAGCATTAAAGTCTCTTCCTATTAATATTCTTGTATTTGAGCTACTTTTAGTAATGTCTTCTATCAAAAATTGCTATATTTTTCTTTGCATATCTTTGTCGTTTGGGGGAAAATATACTACCCAGATAACTAATATTGTTTTTTTAAATCTAAAGACTGCTTTTAACATATATGTATTTTTGCACACTATTTCAGTTAGATGTGTTTGCCATTTTTTCCTATTATGATACCTACACCTGACCATTTTTTCTTTTCTATATTATCTTTGGTCCAGAAAGCTCTGAATTGCTGCCATTCTACTTCTAAGAATACCTCATCCCTTGCACTAATATTTGTTTCTGTTAACCCTATAATGTCCAAATTTTCTTCTATACTAAAATCTAAAAGCTCTTGCAATTTCAATCTATTCCTTTTGATACCATTTATTTATGAAAATCTAATTTTAATTGTTCAAACTTTCATCCCTTTTGTTGATTTGGCCTAAATTTTTTGGCCTTAGGGTGTCTCTCAACCCTTTTATCTGTGATTCAACTGTGGCAACTTTTAGAAGTGCTGGGCGATTTGCAACTCCAGCTCTGTAAATCTCTTCTTCATTTTATCTACTAGTCCCCAAATATTTTTGGCTTGGTCTAATTCACTCTCTTGTTTTTCTTGTTTCTTTTTTTTTTCCCACTTAGTACTATTTTGTTTGAACCGGTTGCACATTTATTTTTCATGCTTCTGGAAGGTTTTCTGATATTGTTGCCAGCTCTGGGGCTTCTAGTATTTCTTTTATTTTTTTTACTATCTGAGGAGTCATATATATACCTTTTTGCTCTAATGCTCTGTTTGGTAGATAACCATTTGATAGAGAACATTTCTTTCGGTGTCTCAGATTCATCTACTGGTCTTTTTTCTTTCTCTATATCTCTATTTGTTTTCCCATACTAAAAATTGTTATATAATTTTCTTCTATTTGAGAGTTCAATGGATGGGTGCCAGTTGAGCTTGGCATTGAAGTAATAGAGCTTGCAATTCTGAGCTAATGTAAAATCCTTCTCTGATTTAAAATACAAGTGAGCTACTTTTCTTTAATTTCTATTACGATTGCTTAGTATATATAATGTCTATACTTTATACTTCTTCAGTTGATGTAAGGGAAGACTGTCATAAGCAGATATTAGTAAATTAGAAATAACACTTTTGTAGTGGTTCTTTTTTTCTAATTCAGAGATGTCGAATTTGCCAGGTGTAATGTGATATGTTTTGCTATATTCCAGGTGGATGGACCAACTTTCTTTTAGAGATTTTCTTTTTTGTTTGAAACTTGGCAAGATTCTAATATAGGCTGTCTTGGTTCTAAAATTTTGTTGCTATGGGATCAGCTTTGCTGTACCAAAATAACCAAGATATTACTTTATTACTGATGCACTCATTTCTTTAAGCAGGTCCCAGATTGTAAAATCATATATTAGGTTGTGCTTTTTTTTTTGAGAAAAAGTTTCATTCTTTGGGGCCCAGGCCGAGTTGTATATATCCTCATAATGCTTGTACTTTTTACTACTTTTGTGTACATGAGCTTTTACCTTCTTCTGTAGTACTTCTTCAAGATGCTCTATAAGACCATAATCGAGCATGCCACACTTATTTTGAATTAATACCACTTTAACTAATTCCTCTTTGTTTTCTGAGGAATGAGGAAATAATTTTTGTTCTTCTAGATTCTGTTTGCAGAAGTTGTTGTATAGTTCTTCTTCTGTTTTATTTATGATGTTGTTATTTTCTGTTGTTAATACAATCAGTGCAGTTTCCATAAAAATTGGCTCAATATTGTTTTTGATATTATTATTGCATTGCAATGCAGTCTTTTTTATAGAATAATCTGTTATTTGATTTTTGTCTATTTCCATGTTATTGCTAGTTTTAGTAAGAGAATTTGTGTAATGATCTGTTGTATCTTCCATGGAAATGGTTTCACTTTTGAGCCTAATGTTGTCTATTTGGGAGGTTAATTTATTTGTTTTGCTTACGTGTCCCTTAGGCTCACTAGGGTGTTCTATAAGAGCTTCTTCTTCTTCTGTTATATTTAACCCTTTAAATTTTATTGTTGTGCATAATCATGCCATTGTAATACTATGTGAATGATTGCAATAAGATAAGTTTCTGTTGTTTCTAAATACTTAGAGACTTTTTTGTCTTCCTCCCAAAGATATATATTTTGTTTCTTTTGAATCGAAGCTCTTTCCTCTTCTGATTTATTAAAAAAATTTTTATAATCTACAAGATCCAGCATTTTATGTGTATTGTTTGTTTACTTCACGTGTCTGTTTGTTGTGTTGTTTGTTTATCTACCGATATCTAGATTGTTTGTTTATTGCCGAAAATAGACGTATTTGTTTGTTTGTTTTGTTTTGTTTGCTTGCAGATCTACAATACAGAGTCTATAGTAAATCTCCAAAATTTTAAAATTTTTCAAAATTTTTGTCAAAGGTATGAATTTTTCCAAAAAATGGGCTCCCAAAGGTGTAAGAGATAATATTGTTCTAAGAGACTACAGTTATTTTCTTTGTTCTATCTTTTAGCTTAATACTGTTTCTAGTGTTGACTTAGTAATGTATAGCCCAGAACCTTGGTTTTCTTTAGCTCCAGATTTTGTTTTAGTGATCGTTGGAAAGAGTATGAATTAAATCTGTATTTTTTTTTATAAGTTTTAATTTTTTTTTTATATTAATTATATTTAATTATTATTATAGCTTCTTAAGACTATGCATTCCAAA